TAAATTTAAAGATGTATTTTCACACAAACCTAATTCAAAATTGAGCAATGGATACCTGAGTTGGCACCCGTTTGTTAGTTGAGTATGCCTTTTGGAGTTTTAATTTTTATGTTGTTTGTATTTATTTTATTTTTAGGATTCTGGAAACATCCCAGAGGCTATTGCATCTTATCGCACAGCCTTGAAACTGAAGCCTGACTTCCCTGATGCTTACTGCAACTTGGCACACTGCCTACAGGTGTTCATCTGCTGTTATACTGCATCTCCTTTCTATTTTTTTACTTCTGCTGTTATCAAAACAAATTTTCTGATTACTTTTTGTTTTTTTTAATTTATTAATAAATTAATTTTTTGTTGTTTTTGCCCCCCACTTTTTCAGATTGTGTGTGACTGGACAGATTATGATGAGCGGATGAAAAAGCTTGTGAGCATTGTGGCAGACCAACTGGAGAAGAACCGCTTGCCCTCAGTGCACCCACACCACAGCATGCTGTATCCGCTCTCTCACAGCTTCCGCAAGGCCATTGCTGAGCGCCACGGAAACCTTTGCCTGGACAAGGTAGACAAAATGATCAAAGCAAGTAAACCTTTAATATATATTTTGGGAGGGTGGAAGGTGGCTGGTGATGGAAGTGCCTGCAGGGTATGGGGAAGGTAAGGGGGGTGGGCAAGGTACTGGGTATAAAGAAGTAGAGAAGCTGGTGGTGAGTGGGTCGCTTGGAGTGATGAAGGTATAGGGGTAAGAAATGATTTTTGGGCAAACAAATTATGTTGTCAGTCAAACATCTGACATGTAGACTTTACTGTCCTACTGTACACGTATTCTTATAACATTACTTACTCCACAGATTAATGCACTGCACAAACCGGCTTACGAGCATCCCAAGGATCTGAAAGCTAGTGGTGGACGTCTGCGCATTGGATATGTAAGCTCTGACTTTGGCAACCATCCAACCTCCCACCTGATGCAGTCCATTCCTGGAATGCACAATCCTGAAAAATTTGAGGTAATTTCAACTCGGAATTGGTTTTTATGGTTTAAAAAAATGGTGCTTATTACACTCTGCAATGTATTGACACAGTGTTGACTAAAGTCTTCATTTTGTTTTCCTTACCCTAAAGGTGTTTTGCTATGCACTCAGCCCTGATGATAGTACCAATTTCCGTGTGAAAGTGGTCGCTGAAGCTCATCATTTCACAGACCTCTCACAGGTAACTCGTAACATGTTGTTTCCTCAACAGTATCTTTCTATTTATAACACATCAACCTTGAGCATTTCTATTTTTAACTTGGAAGGCATTTCAACCATTGTGCTGTCACATGCAATGTCAGGAACTCTAGCCATTTACATAAACTGTAATTTTTGTCTCCAGATACCTTGCAATGGCAAGGCAGCTGATCGTATTCACCAGGATGGAATCAACATTCTAGTGAATATGAATGGATACACCAAGGGAGCAAGAAATGAGCTCTTTGCCCTCCGCCCTGCCCCTGTTCAGGTAAGCCTTACATGTAAATTGTTAGCCTGTCTAGGGGATAGCTATATTTATAAGCTTGTGCAATATACTGACCGTGAAAACGCACAGCTAACAATTTATACCTATTCAATAGGCTATGTGGCTAGGTTACCCTGGAACCAGCGGAGCTCCCTTCATGGACTACATCATCACAGACAAGGAGACATCGCCTACGGAAGTGGCTGAGCAGTACTCGGAGAAACTTGCCTACATGCCCAATACCTTCTTCATTGGAGACCATGCCAACATGTTCCCTCACCTCAAGGTTTGTCCAGCCTTACAATGCTGCAGATTGATTCTGTGAGCTGTCTTGTTTTCCTAAAATTTTACTTTCACTGTTGTTGTAACTTTATTTATTTTTGACCAACAGAAAAAGGCAGTGATTGATTTCAAGTCTAACGGGCACATCTTTGACAACCGCATCGTTCTTAATGGTATTGATCTGAAGGCCTTCTTGGACAGTCTGCCCGATGTCAAAGTGATAAAGGTGAGTAAGGAAAAATATCCAGAAACTTTATTAAAACAGACGTTTAATCTGAAACAATAATTCTGATTATTGATGAACATTTTTTATTTATTTTTATTTTTTAATCGACCAGATGAAGTGTGACAACAACCAGGAATCTACTGGTGACACAAATGGAGCCCTGTCCATGCCTGTAATTCCCATGAACACAGCAGCTGAAGCAATCATCAACATGATCAATCAAGGCCAAATCCAGGTCACAATCAATGGCTTCACTGTCAGCAATGGCCTAGCCACCACACAGGTAAGAGTCACTATTAGACATACACACTTTGGCCACTTTTGCTTCATGTAAACACACTGTCTGGACACCCTGGTCACGTTTCCATATATTGTCACATGCTGCTTCTTTTTACAGAAGTATTTTAGTCAATGTTCCCTCATTTAGGAGGGACTTTAAAACAAAACACTTTAAAACAAATGTAAGCGTTAAGGCCGCTCGACAAACAGCAATATTTTCATTCCTCATGTTTAGATCAGTAACAAAGCTGCAACTGGGGAGGAGGTGCCACGCACGATTGTTGTAACAACTCGTTCTCAGTATGGTCTCCCAGAGGACTCCATTGTCTACTGCAACTTCAACCAGCTCTACAAGATTGATCCACCTACTCTCCAGATGTGGGTCAATGTAAGTTTGGACTGTCCTTATTATTAATGAACTGGAGTTCCTTTAACTAAGAAATTCTGTTAAGTGTGTGTGTGTGTGTGTGTGTGTGTGTGTGTGTGTGTGTGTGTGTGTGTGAGAGAAAATAAATAATAAATCTCTTAACATTTGTCTTGTTGCAGATCCTAAAGCGCGTGCCCAACAGCGTATTGTGGCTTCTTCGCTTCCCTGCAGTTGGTGAGCCCAACATCCAGCAGTATGCTCAGAACATGGGTCTGCCAGGCTCTCGGATCATTTTCTCTCCTGTGGCCCCCAAGGAGGAGCATGTGAGAAGGGGCCAGCTTGCTGATGTGTGCCTAGACACTCCTCTGTGCAACGGTCATACCACAGGCATGGATGTTCTCTGGGCTGGAACACCCATGGTTACTATGCCTGGTGAGCAGAGTTTTCAGGAATAGGCTTGGCTACCGATTAGGGCTGCCACAAACGATTATTTTGATAGTCGATTAGTCACTGATTGCCATCTTCTGTTTCATTCTGTTATTACACTCTTAAATCCTACTACTTATTCCTGCATCTTTTGGGATCTTACAAAGCTTCAAACGACTCGTCGACTATTTTGATAGTCGACATAATCGTGACTAGTCGACTAATCGTGGCAGCCCTACTACCAATTGTTGCCATAACACAAGTTGAATAATTAACAGATTTTAAAAAAATATATAAAAACATGACCATGAGAAGAATGTTAATTGAAACCTGGCGCCAGTGTCCGGCAGCCTCGCCTCTGTCAGTGTGCCCCAGGGTGGCTGTGGCTACAATGTAGTTGCCATCACCAGTGTGTGAATGGGTGGATGACTGGATATGTAAAGCGCTTTGGGGTCCTTAGGGACTAGTAAAGTGCTATATAAATACAGGCCAGGCCATTTACCTGTTTTCTTTTAAAATATTGACACCACTGTAGGTGAGACTCTTGCATCCCGTGTGGCTGCCTCACAACTCAACTGTCTGGGCTGCCCTGATCTAATAGCTCAAAGCCGCCAGGACTATGAGGACATAGCAGTCAAACTGGGCTCCGACATGGAATAGTAAGTAGATGTTTATCCTAAACACTTAATTTTATTTATTTTTAAAACATCCTTTGTCACCTGCCAACTCTGATTACTCGCCCTCCTCCTATAGCCTGAAGATGGTCCGAGCGCGTGTTTGGAAGCAGAGAATTTGCAGCCCTCTTTTCAACACCAAGCAGTACACAATGGACCTGGAGAGGCTCTATCTGCAGATGTGGGAGCACCACAGTAATGGCAACAAGCCAGATCACTTGGTCAAACACCAGGCAGTAGAGGCTAGTGAAAATGCTTGAACTGGAAGCATGCAGAATTATTTTCCCCTTTCCCCCAGCCATTTTAAACCCCCATCAGCACCATAGTTTGAATGGTCCGTTTCCACTCCAGCCCCTTCTTGTCGAACTTTTGTCTGTATCACTCTCCTTTGCTATTAATGGGACTCTTGTTTTCAAGGAGCCTACACATGTTCACATTTATATCCCATTTACACTGATCGTTGCCTCTCACATCTGCATCTACTGAGCCAGATCGATCCTGAGACATTCAGGCAACTCTTCTGAGACTCTTGTCCTAAAACACAGTATAGGTATTTGGTGAGCATGAAAGGATTGTGAATGCCTGGCTTCCCTTTTTTTTTTTTTTTTTTTTTTCTTTCCCCTTTTTTGGTACTTGGATCGATGGATTTACTTTCTTCTGTCATTGTGCATATGGGACTAAGTGCAGCTTGTGGAGAGAATTTCCAGCCGTCATTACTTGTTGATCTATTTATAAATGGATTAAGAGTGTTGTGTGTTTTTTAAAAATGACATTGTTGCACCATGGAAATTGTACCTGACATGTTTCATCAGCTTTAACATGAAATTATAAAATTTAAATTGCAACTCCTCTTTAGTTTTTTTTTTTTTTTTTAAAAGCTCCTCTCACATACCTGCAGAAGTAGGTGTTCTAAGTTTCTGAAAACATGACAAAATGAGAACTTCTGAATGCCAACTTCATTAAGCAAGGACTGTTTATTACAAGGACTATTTATTATCAGGACTATTATCAGTTCTCAACATGTTCATAAGACTGGACAAATCTAGATAAAGCAACTCCTGTTAGGTCAGCGGGGAAGACCTAAATGTAATTTTAGATTACATACCTTATTTTTTATTTTTTTTTTTTTTAAATCTCACAAACCTGAAGCAGGCTGGTAAGTATTTCTAAGCAAATTCTTTTTCTTTTTTTTTTTTTTTAAATTGTCTGTTTACCTTTATGCTGTCAACGATGCCATGAGGCACTATATATAATAAATATTGAGATGGCAATCACTTTGTATGGTGTTTTGTACTCGATGGTAAAACCGGTGAAAAACTGAAACCCTACCCCTTTGTTTCTTAAATCCTCATCAGTGTGCGGTCAGCAGCTCACAGCACCTTGTTAAACTTGGCAGATTTATGTACTTGTATTCAGCTGTGCCTTTCTGGGTCCATTGGAGTCTGCTGACAAAATGAAAACAAATTTCCTGTGCCGAAATCTTCAAGCAATATTGGCATTTATGGAAGTGTTAAAAAATAAAAAGTCCTGCATTCACAAGTATACCAGTCCCAAAACCAGGTGGAAGAAGAAATTCAGTTAAAAACCAAATGGCTGACTAATATAAGTTACCAATGCTTTTTGTCATTGGAGTTCAAGTATGGATATCCTTTAAATGCCATTCGACTTTGCTTTGCTAACTTGTGTCAGTAGTTATATAATCTGCATACTTGTGCATGATCTGTGGAATGAATGTTAAAATTCATAGTTGACCAACATTCTAATCTAGAATACATAATGATGAATTCACAGACTGACTGTAGGACATGTGGCTGTCCAATAAGACGGTCATAAATCATAGATAATAAAAATATTCAATATATAAATGCATGGTTGGTACGTCTGGAGCTACTAAAAGCCATGGCGATTCCTTGTCAGACTGATGCATGACAGCCAACCAAGTCAAGTGATACAGGTAATAGAAGACATTTATATTATCTGGTAAGATGAGATATAACAAATGTGCACATAGATTAATTTAAAAGTTTTGTTAGCCATGACAAGTCTAGTTAGACAGTGTGACTAGTTGGTTTGGGTGACGTATAACGGCTTGCTGTAATTAATTTCTACCACAGTAATTTAAACATCAATTTGACAGATTATTTTTTTCTATTAAAAGTAGAATTGCATTAAAAACTAAATTGAACTTTATCTTCCTGTGAAATTTGTCTACGTGATTATTTTCCTGCAAACGTAGGTGTGGACAAGATGGTTCAGTGCCACTCCGAACGCGCTACGATTGGTCCAATATCACGGTGACAACTTCCGGTGCAATGGAGCACAAGATTTGAATTTAACTTCGTAGTTGCTTCCCTATTCTCTCAGCCACTCTTATTCTCTTATAACAGAAGCGCAATTGGTAATGAAATAACAAATATTGTCGGGTTCGTTTGTTTGTTTTATAAGTCGGTAATTCAGTGTGTGCTAATGGGGGGAAATGAACCAGCTAGCTCTTGTTAATGTTAGTTGATTAACGCTAGAGACCCCGTTGCTAACGGTAACGCTAACGCTGCTCAGCTAAAGGCTGTAACCCCTCAACCATATAGATATATTTTGTTCCAACCAGAAAAATTAATTGGTTAAATGAAAAATGTTTGGTAATAACTATAAATTAGCAGCACTCTGTGGTTTTATGATGTTATAAAAAACCAGCTTGATGTTAGCGCTGGAGCAAACTTTAAATGGCTCGTGCTATTGTGTGCTATTGCAGACTTGAAGGAAACTATGAACGATGCTACGTCCAAGTCTTTTCACAAAGTGGCTAAAAGAATGGGGTGGATGGATGAGGGAGGACTGGAGGAAACGGAAAAGAAGGTTTGCTGCATACTTTTTTAAACCCCTAAATTATCGCGGACTTCATTAAAAACTGGTAAACACACTGGCACTATTAGCCTAGGTTGCTGGAACAGAGAATAGCTCTCAAGTACAGCGTTTGAGACAGGAGAGATGATCGATCGTCTCCCTTTTAGCTTCATATATCAGATACCATTTAAGAGATACATTTTTTTTAAATAGTCCGTCAACCTAGGTCCACAATATTTTTTCCGCACTTTTACATCTGAGGAATTGTTTCAGCATGAATATCTCAAACTCAAACTTCAATGAATTTGGTCAAATTTCAATGGTCTATCTGCCATAATAAATGTCATGGCATCACGATCTGTAATTTGGGGCAGGTGCATCAAAACTGTGTGATGGCTGGTTGCTTAACTAAATATTTGTATAAAAAATGATTTTTGAATGGAGTACGGTTGTATTTTACAATGTCAATTGAAGCCTCTAGAAACATTCTTAGTTACAAAAATGCTATTTTCATTCAACTTGTATGCTGGATTGAGCAAATATGGTAACCAAAACAAAAAGAAAAATATCAATTGATAGTCTAATGTCAAAATGTTGGTACTCAGGTAGCACTTTATTAAAGTCTAAGAAAATAATTTTGTTAAATATACAGATTTTATTTTTTTGGAGACCCACTATGGCAGGGGTTGATTTTGTTGATTTGCGTTTAAAAGTGATGGTATCACCATGAAGTAAATGATTGAAAATGAATAAATAAATAAACATTATTATTGTTGTTGCTTCTGTTTGCAGTTGATGAGTAAAATTGGTAAGAGTCGTCATGCTGGCACAAGTGGTCATGGATCAGCAAGTAAGTGGAGAAACTCTGCGTTGAGCGAATCGAGTGACGATGAATTTGACAGGTGTAAGTGTTTGGGCTTTTTAAAAAAATTTTTTTTATTAATGTACAATGCTTAAAGGTGTGACTTTGGTTTCATGTATGGATTTAATTTTTTTCCTATTACCCTTTAATGCCTTAGTTCTTATGGAAAAAGCCACACCCCAAGCTAAAGCCACTTCACACAAGCCACGCAGTCCTGCAAAGACAGGCAGGTATGAAAATGTTTTCATGAAGCATTTTGTCTTTTTCTGATCTAGATTTTCTATCTGATTTATCATTTCACACTAATGACTATATTATGATATAACTAAAATATTTAAAAAGCACTTTTATTATTTTCAGTTCAAGCATTGTGGTGGTGAGCTCAGATGATGACAATACCGCTTTTGAAACATGTAAGTGCTAATGTCATTCTTCTGGTTAGATTTTGTCTATATATCCCACCAATACAATTTTTGGATATTTTATCTTTGCTCATTGAAGTTCTTCAGCGGGCAAAAACTCCCAATACTAAACCCAAGAAGACATCTAAAAGTGGCAGTGAGGACAGGTGAGTCCGATGAATTTTTATCCACCACTTTTATTTCCCGTCAGAAGTAAATGTTATTTACTGCTAAACATTTTCCCCCTGGGTTAATTTCACAGCCTCCATAATTTTATAGTTGACGACTACTCATCAGATGATGACTTTGTTGAGCCAAAATCATCTTTCAAAGGTAATTTTGCTGTTGTTCCTCACTTCCAGCATGATCCCAAATAATGTCGGGAGATGTCACATGCAACAATAAATGACATAGCCTTCACATTTACCTACCATTTGATCCCGGGAGGAGAAACAAATCCTTTTGGAGTTGCATCAGCAAGGCAGCCTGTTGTGTTGCTTCTAATATAACAGTGATATTGATTTAATTCATTAATGGGAAAATGAGCTAAAATCTCATCTTGGGAAGTTGCACCTGACTGATCTACGGCCTAGATTATCAGTCAGTCACACCTAGTTGTTTATGCCTACGTGACAGTGTTCACTTGCTGTGTGGTTTACAAACCGGGAGAGGGTTGTTCTTCACTTTGCAAATTATTTTCTGGTTGTATACAAAGCTTTTGTTGACGTATCAGGCGTCTTGTTTTTTCTAATTTCCCTGTTGCTGCTTTTTTAAATATGTGTCAGATGCATATGTAAAAGTCTGTTAATTTATTTTTTTTCTCTCAAATTTTTTTGTAGTTCCTAAGAAGACCAATACTCCAACATCCCAGCCTCAAACAAGGCGACCCCTGTCTCTGTTTAATTCACCTGTCTTTGTCAGCGACGATGAGGATGATGATAATATTGTGCTGAAGAGCACTTGGAGAACCCGTCACACGAGGCCCAAGTCACTTCCAAAGACCAGTGAGAATACTCCTCCTCTGTGCAATGACGATGAAACTTCGCCGTCACTCCCCTCTCCTCCTGCTCTGTCTCCTTTGTGTCGTCCTTCAAACGGAGCTAAAACATTAGTGATCTCTCCCAAGCGCACTTTTTCAGTGCCTTCCAAGCTGGATGATTCAAGCAGTTCTGAGGAGGAGTTCACATCCCTGCTGGAGAGACTGAAAAAGAAAAACAATTTCATAGGGAATTCATTCCTACCGAACAACAGCAAAGGTACGGTAACTGCTTAATTCTGAATGTTTGAATCTGACAGTCTTTTGTTTTTTTCTTGTCATGCTCATATCTCTTCCTCTCCTTTTTCCAATTAAATTTAGAGAGCGATAAGGAGCCTGCTGGGACAGTCTCAGTTCCTCCTGTATCCCAAACACCAGGCTCTAAATCATTAGGTGTGAAGACACCTGGAAAATCATCGATCTTGAAGCCCGCCGTCAGTCAGAGCGAGCCGAGACACGGTCCAACCAGCAAGTGCGTCTAGTGGATGCACTAATTGGACACCAGATAGTGAGCCTTTTCCTTTTATACACGAACGTTTGTCTTCATTTTGCTCTGTTTGCTTCCCTCTAGGAATGTGCTGTGTAAGACCCCGGGCTGCTTCCTGCAGTCGCTCACAAATCCCAGCTCCAGCTATGTGGGCAGCTTTAAGCAGAACAAAGAGGCACTCACAAGTAAACTCTACCACCTGTACAACACCACAGTGTTTGAGAGTAAGGTAATGAAGATTCATTGTTTACCAGACTGTTCTCCATTTGAAGCTGAGGAATATTTAATTTGATGCACGTGATGTAAAAGAAAATCTCCAGACTTTGTGAAATCCCCCTTGCTTTCACTGGTTGCCTAAAGTCCATTGGCAGCCATAGTAGAACCACCATCTGTAATATATTGTGTGTTATGTTGTCATAAGTCAAGGATGGGTCACATATTGAAGCTGCAAAGCTCTCTGGTTGTTTTGTGTAGGATAGCTGTTGTGCTAAATGATAAAATGCTCACTAATGAGTTTCAAGAATGAAGATATGAACTGTGAGCAAAGGCCGGAATCTCCCATGCAGTTCTTTCAATATTGATGTACAATTTAAAACTCCAGTATTCTTTTTATATTATTATTATTATTGTAAATTAAATATGATGAAACGCTCTGTGTAAAGAACGAAATATTTATACATTGCATTGTTTAATGTCTTTGCTAACAGGGTGAGTTTTTGTTTTCATTTATTTCTAACTTTCTTTCTTTTTAGCTCCCTGTGAATATGTCAGTGACCTGGAATAAGAAGATGCGTAAAACAGCTGGCTACTGCGTTACAGGGCAGGAAAAGGGTGGAGGAAACCGCTACGCCCGCATAGAACTGTCAGAGAAAGTCTGTGACTGTGCAGGTAATGGCTTACTAAGGTCCCCTAGAATTATTTGCTTGTCAGGGAAGCTGCGACCTTGTGGAGCTTTAGAACCTCTTACTGTGCTGTTGTTCCTGAATATGTGCGTGCGCATATATACGAGGTACATCGTCTTGTATGACAACATTGTCTTTGTGCTTCCCTGCTAGATCGTCTCAGGGACACACTGATACATGAAATGTGTCATGCTGCAACATGGCTGATTAACGGTGTAAGGGACGGGCATGGAAACTTCTGGAAGCTCTATGCTCGCAAAGCAACACTGGCACATCCGGAGCTGCCAATGGTCACGCGCTGCCACAGCTATGACATCAAGTACAAATTCCAGTACCAGTGCACTCGCTGCAAGAACACGTATGTAAACCAAAACCACTTACTCCATTTTATGAGTCGCTGTGTGTTTCCAGAGCGTTTGAGCTCATTTCAGCCTGATTAATGTCTCTTTTTTTACTGTGATTCCATATAGGATCGGCCGTCATTCCAAGTCACTGGACACGCAGAGATTTGTGTGCGCCCTCTGCACTGGTCAGCTTGTCTTGTTGACGCCTTCTAAGCCACGTGCTCCCACGCCTTTTGCCAACTTTGTCAAGGAAAATTACTCGAGTGTACGACAGGAGCTAGCAGGACAGAGTCATGCAGAGGTGATGCGGAAACTTAGTGCAGACTTTGCCTCGAAGACTAAACTGAGTCAAAGCTGAGCCAGTATGTGTCCTTTACACAGGCAGTCTATGAAATATCTCAGTCAGATAGTCTTACATTATTGAGCAGCTATGATTCTCAATGTTTTTTTTTTCTGTTTGTCTGTTGATCATTAGAGTTGCTGTAACTGGAAAAACTGAATGAATAGAAAGTAAATGTTTCTGATTGTGTGCTTGTGTAGATGATAGCATCAAACAATGTCATACTTAATAAGTGACTGTGCCATGGTAAATGTCTGATATGAGCCTTTTAATGCTGTGCTGGTGCGATTTTTTTTTTTTTTTTTTTTTGTTGGCTTTGCACCTTCAAGTCTTCAAATAAAGTTTAATTCTTTAAGATGGCCAGCACGTGCGCTAGCTACAGCCTGAACACAATGCTCAGTGTTCCTCTGCTCATTGTCATCCCGCGCTCTCCGTCACTCCTCAGACACTCGGTTCTTGCTCCTCATACACCTTCTCCTCTGCAATAATCTCCAGGTAGGTCTGCACATTTTGATTTTGGATTTTTTTTTAATTAACCAAACCCTTCTTAGAAATTATTCTCACAAACATTTGAGCTAAATCATCATAATCAATGCTTTTTCAGCAACTCATCGGGACAATCAAAGCAGTTCTTTTAGGATGTGGGGAAGATTTTTCTGTGACCCAATTTTTGATCTTCAGCGCTACTAATCAGGCCTTGTCATTGGTTTGTAAATTCTATATTATATTTGTACAGTTCACTGTTTGTTAGTGACTCACAATATACACCATTTTCTACTGTCATTTACTCTGGAGAATATCACCTGTTTATTTTATGTATTTTGTTTGGAGGCCACATGACAACATACTGTTTTGGATAGGGATAGGTGTTACTTGGGCTTAGCGCACAACCAGTCTGCATATATGCTCACTGGCCACTTGATTGGTTATATCTGTTCAGCTGCTTATTAAAGATCACATCCAAGTACTCAGACAAATTGCAGCAACCCAATACACTGAAGCATAGTCAAGGTGGCCTCCTGAAGGTCAGACTGGCCAGACTGCTTCAAGCTGTCAGAACTTCAGGCAACAGTGACTCAAATAATCACTCATTACAACCAAGATATGCAGAAGAGCACAGAACCTGTCAAACCTTGAAGCAGAATGGCTACAGCAGCAGAAGACCGCATAGGATCTGTGTTTAATAGCATCAGAAAAAAATACATTCAAGGTTTTATGATGCAACTTAAAAAAATTGGAGATAAATCCAAAGTCGAGCCACTCAAATGAGCAATGCTCATTTAAAAATGAAAGTAAAAATAAACAGGACACGAGGACAAATTGCTTCATTGGGTTTAATTTTAACTGAAATACTGTTGTGCTGTTTACATAATTCAATTCACAAGACATTATGTAAAACATTCAGGAATATTGATGATAAAATACGCACAAAAGCATGCCAGAAAATATATTAACAATCCCTTTAAGACAATGTGACCAAAAACTGTACATAAAAAAAACAAGGATGCAGCTTCTGGACCTGGAAAGTGAAGCCAATGCAAACTGACTTAAGCCTGCATTTCCTTCACAGGCCACTAGGGGCAGCTCTTGTAGTTCCAAATGTCTTTAAACAAACTGCTGTAGTACTTATTTGACCTATAAGCTAAGTACACAGCTTCCTCACTAAATAAGGGTCTCAGACACATGTTTCTCATCAGCATGATGCTATTTTGATTCTTCTTTTTTAAAACTGTATTAGTGCAGGTATACCTGTTGGTTGACAACTCACTACTATATGGTCAAGCAGTGTTGTTGCTTTCACAGTCACACCCAGGTAATGCTGAGTTTAACTCTTTAAGAGTTAAACTCTTTAACTCTTTAAGAGTTAAACCCAGCGTTACCTGTTACCTGTTAAAAGCCTACTAAGAGTAACCCTTGAAGCTGTTTTCTAAACTGACTGGGTTTTTTTTTTCACATTTCAGACCTGCTTGTACAACAAAATGACTGTGTTGGTCAGAATTTAGTGAGGGGGGTGTCTGCAAATGCAACTACCCTTGGAAACTATTTGACCACTAAAGGTGGTCAAACCACACCTTTATTGATAAATACAGAGGTGTCAAAGTGGTCATTAAAGGTACGGGGAGGCATTCAAAGGTCATCTTTATGGGTGAAAGAGTTATTTAAAAAAAAAATGAAATGGGCAAATTGTTCAAGTGAAAGCTTCTAAACAAGGTTTCACAAGGCTACATCCATGTTTTATTTTACACAGCCTTAAGGCTTTACACACCGGACGCATAAAATCTGTGCGAATATTTCGTTGGTTAAAAATATTTTATGAGAGTCACCTATTCTTAATGCAGTCATTTATATGTTTGAAACAAGCTCGATTTTTTTCACTTGGCAAGAAGTGTGCTGTACCTTGAATCATGCACAGTACTGAATATACAAATAGTTAGATAACAGTATTTTACCTCAGACACTGCTCTGGGTCAGTCGGCTCTCTGAACACGAATGTTTTCCCAACTCTGCCGACAAGAGCTCAAACTGCCCCACTGACATCATGAAATATGTCCGGAAGCAGTCGTGATACAGCTTGGATGAACCCAGAACTTCCCAGGACCGACTCATCATCGCTTGATGTTGGTTTTGAGGACGAATTTTCCGCAAAAGTTTGGAACAGAAAAAAATTCTAAATTTTATGTCACTTTTTAAAATGCACTTGGTGTGTAATGGCCTGTAGGTGTGGGATCCAAGATGATGGTGTGCTAAGAGGCAGCTTCCCTGATGTGAGAATTACCCCTTTAAGAGGCACAGGCACAAATCCACAGGCAGCACGGAGATGAGACAGAGCGCTCTCCAGTCGTCAGTGGTTAACAAACACCTTCACTGCATTGCAAATTTTCCCAGGAAAACCAGTATAAAAGAGCCGAAACATGAGACGGTAATGGGAGTCACCAGTATACGAGAGTGAACAGACACTGCTAACATAATGCACAAAGTATCACACAAAGCGCTGGAATGTACTACGTGTCACTGTATTGGTGCAGGCACAATGAATAACCTCTATAATATTATCAATATATATCCTTCATAAATGAATGCAGCATTCTAACAGGTAAGAGGGTGTACTCTTACAGTTTTGGCAGTATGTTGTCATGTAACTGAAAGAAGGGTGGTTTGGCATTTTGCTAGACTTTTTGTCCAAGTCTTTAAAGGTTTTGTAATGATTGTAGTTTTTGAAGCTTAAATGTCTTGACTGATTTAAAAAAAAAAATTATGGCACTATACAACGATAATAAGGTTTTGTTTTCTGGATAAATGGATGAGCAGCAAAACACCCTCACTGATCCAGCCTGGTCCACCCAACCTTAATGCCTTTCATTTGCTTCAGTACAGGCAGGTTTTTTTCATAATGCGCAGGAACTCCTGCTGGTTCACTTCCCCATCTCCATCCCTGTCCGCTTCATCTATCATTTCCTGCAGAAACACACAAAACACGAGGAAATGAAAAGAAGAACTGAGAGATGGAGAAAGCAAAACAAGCTGGCTTGATAGCATTCACGAGCAAATGCTGTGTTGACATTATTCTAAATTGCCTTCACAGCCTTTGGCTTTGTCAACACAACCCACCAGCTAGATACAGTAATATGCTTTTGATATTTTATTATTAGCTCTTTTATGCCATGATGTAGAGCCTCACCTGCAGCTCTTCATCTGTCAGGTTCTCCCCAAGCTCTTTGGCTACCCTCTTCAGATTCTTGAATGATATCTTGCCCGTCTCGTCGTCATCAAACAGCCGGAAAGCTTTTAAGATCTCCTCCTTAGAGTCCTTTTCAGCCTAAAATTAGAGAAGAGGGAGAGTACTTTACTCCGGACAATACAACTCTTTAGTAACATAGAAATAAAAGCAATGCAACACATGTCTACCATTTTCTGCGTCATGACAGTGAGGAAGTCTGCAAAGGAGATCTTTCCTGTGCCATCCTTATCAACTTCACCTATCATCTTCTTGATCTCCTCTTTCTTTGGTTCAAATCCCAGAGCTCTCATGGCAACCTGACACAGAGTAAGAAACGCAGATATTCAAAGCATACATAGGTAATTATCCTTCCTTAGCAGCGGCAGGATAAATTATGTATCGTATCAGTGGGACATAATAACAGTTAATCTGGTCTTTAGCCGGTCTTAAAAAAAGGTTAAAAAAAAACTTCAAATAGAAGATTGTAAGGTTGCTTCCAAACAGAGTCCATCACTGTGCAATGAGAATGAGTATTTACCAGCAGAAAAACATTAAAAAAAATGAACTTATTTTATCCCCTTATATATTTAAGCCCTTTTAAAATAGTGAACAAAGTCTTTACTTTGGGTCGATAGTCATCATTTCAGTTTAACTTAAATAAGTTTGGCTAAATGAAGCACTAAATGATGAGTGTGCCAAATAACTATATATGCAGCTAACTGTACATGTAGACATCAGGGCATGAGATCTTTTACCTTAAGCTCCTTCACATCGATGTATCCAGAGCCATCAGTGTCAAACAGCTCAAAGGCCTCCCGGATCTCCTGCTTCTGTACCTCCGTCAGCTCTGGCTTGGGGGCTGTCTTCTTGCGAGGAGGGGGCACCGGACCCTGCAGGGATGGTCTCTTGGCAACGGTTGCCTGGTGGTGGGGACACAGGAGGAAAAAATATAAAGTATTGTATTCAAAACGTGTTTTCCCCCATACCTAACCACTGCCGGTTTACAAGTTATACCAGTCAGATGCCACACACGAACACGGAATTACGTAATTTCTAAATAATGAAATATGTTCACTCACCATCAGTTGCTCTATGTGTACCTGGCAAATCTGGCTGCAGATCTTTTAGGCCAATCACTGTTTTCGTCTGGGCTGTGACGCTGTCATTTTGGGAAGGGGAAGACAATAAAGCGGTTTCCAGTTTACATCACTGCTTTAATGACACCTAGTCTGGGAGAAATATGTTATACAGTAAAGCATCGTTCTTATTTCGCTGTAACAGCCTACCTGCTAAAATGTGGATGAAAAAAGAAAAGCGCAGGCGAACCAGCTTGTGTCACGAAGCGGATGTTTGATTTGTTTACCTTTTGTGCCAGCGGACAACCAGTGGTTCCTGGACGTGGAGGAGTTAGAGAAAGGATGCACGGAGGCACAACGAGAAGTAGAAATCAAACGCAACAGTCGGGAAAAAAGCTGATTGGTTGGTGAAAATCACGGGGTGCTTTACGGTAACAACATTCACAGCGGCGCAGAAGGTGTGCTACGGATAGAAGCTGCTTGGAGATAATGTGGAGATCTGAGAAGTCATACCTAAATAGATATGATGTCATTTCATTATGTAAATGGTGTGATTCCTCGTGGTAATCAGTTTAATTTCCTCCGTGCTAGGGATTCAGAAACACACTGAGAGTCTAACACAGTCTGATGAGACAATAAATCAAGTCAAAGTCAGCTTTATTGTCAAAAACCAAAGCATCCACGGCCCCCAGTGCACACTAAAGAACATAAATTAAAAATATAAAAATAAAATAAAACGCTTATATACAACACAATATAATACAGTCTTATATAAACTCATCATTGCTCACAATAATGCACAATGATAATAATAATAATAAGGGTTAGCACGACGTGGAAAAAGCATAATCTTCTCCAGAATCAATAAAGAAGAACATGAAACGAGAAGTTATTAGCCCAAGTTATATGGAGTTTAATACTGCAATTAGAAGGCTCTTCTTATTTTATTTATATATCTATTTATTTAATTTTTTCTAAACACTTTTCTACAGTCTGTGATATTTGCATCATATGTGAGCAGGTTATTTATGCTTAAGCACAGATCTTGTAATATATGCACCGAGATGGTGGAGATCTGTGCCAGAGATGCCTGCAGGATCAACAAATTAATCCACGAGGCTGGAAGCATCATTGGCCTGAATCTGGATGCGCTGGAGTAAGTGAGGAGCAGAGGTTCACTGATATAGCTGCTCTCAGTCACGCACAATCCATCATCCCTGCTTCATTCCACCCAGCAGACCCAGCAGACCTCATTCTCCCTCAGACTTTCTGAACCCTGCTGCCATAAAGAACGCTTCAAGAAATCAATTCCGCTGCTCTCTGCAAAACTCACACAAACACGAGTCTGATCCCTCTGGAGTTTTACGATTTATTTTTGGAGCAACTGTAATCCACATTATTTCCTTAGGGATTAATAAAGTATTCTG